ATATATATATATATATATATATATATATATATATATATATATATATATATATATATATATACCTGTTGATGTTGGTGTATAGAATGGTGTAATCATAAGATTTCCCGTGAAACTTGAGGGCCCTTCTACCGATATCTATTTCATATCTTCCTCTCGGTACTAACAAAGGCACATCATTCAATAACGCAATACTCTCCATCTTTGTCTCAGCAACACCACTCTTCTTCACTAGCTTCTGCAGCAGCAACAACAGCAACACAAACAGAAACAGTAAACACAGCTGCAGCAGGAAAAGCAGCAGCAGAAGGAACAGCAGCAACAGCAACAGAAGCAGCACCAGCAGTAAAAAAAGCAACAGCAGAAACAGCGGTAGTCGAAATGATCGAAATTGAATTAAACTAAATGAATTCAATAAAAATAACAAATAAAATAATAATTAAATAAATTAAATTAATAATATATATATATATATATATATATACAATACATATAAATAAACATATTTATCTAATTATTTATTTATTATTTAATAAATAAATAATTAAATAAATAATAATAAAAAAACCACCGAGACGCTGACCTCCTTCAGGCTCTGCAGAAGGCTCTCCGCCTCGTCATCGCCTGCACTTGGCTGAAAAAGACGAATTTCAAGGAGCATATCATCTGTTTGATCTCTATGGAGAAAAAAACAAAAAACAAAAAAAAAAAACAAATATAAAACTAATAAAACAAATACAAAAACCCTCTATACTATTATATTATTATTATAAACCCGAAATAAATACTAACATTGTTGTTGTATGGTTTCGTCTTTATTATAAACTCTATTAAATTCAAATAAACTCTATAAATAAACCCTATTAAATAAAGTATATATAATTAAAATAAATATAAATAAATTAAATAAATTTATAAATTAAATTAAATAATATTTTATATAATTATTACCTTGTGTCGTCCTGAACAAGCTCAATAGCTAAATCATTCTTCGATGGTGTGGTGACCTGCGCTATGTCCTGGGCGTTCACTTCAAACGCGGGGCAGCCGTTCATTGATACCTTTAAATTATTTCCTTAACACAAACAACAGCAGTAGAAATATATATATATATATATATATATATANTATATATATATATATATATATATATATATATATATATATATATATATATATATATATATATATTTCTACTGCTGTTGAATATATATATATATGTATATATATATATACATATATATATATATAGGTAAATGTATATACTATACAGTAAACACGGAAAAAGAAAATAAAAAGACAGATTCAAGAAAACATAAAAGGAAGGAAAAAGCAATGAAAGCAAAGAAACTCAACGAATATCGGCTGGAGACGAAATCACAAAAGAGAAAGAAAAAAAGAAAGGATGAAAACAACAAAATAAATAAAAGAGTAAAAGAAACACAGAAAGAAACTCAATAAAATAAAAAATAACAACGCACCCTCCATGCAAACCTCTCCCCAGTGCCGCCCCCAGTGGGCGATGTTTTTTGTATTTAAATTTAATTTGAAATGCTCTGAAAAATGTCGTCTGATATCTTCATAGTTCTGAAAAACAAAAAGAAAAAAAAATAAATAAAAACAAAAAAAAAACATTTATATACTCTACACCCACAAATATGCAGTATAGCATCTTTATGTATGCTTATACATCTACGTATATGCATTCATGATTCATGTATGGATACAGATGCATATATATGTACCTATAGCATATGAATGCAGGCAATGATATATATATAATATACACTCTCAGCTGCAGCACGATGAAGACGAGAGAGGGGTCTAGATTGTACTAATTAGAATACAAGTAAAATTCATTGCGGCACTATTAAGAGGTTGTTACTGGTATTCATATGGTGTTATTAGTATAATCCTCACTTTCTTGTGAAAA